GTCTGTTCCCCTCTCCTTTAGATTCCCCCTCCAATCACGATTTCATGACAAATTAATAATATAACATTTACTGCTATTACCTGATCTTTTGAATTTTTTCTAGTGTTATTTTTAGTATGTTGTCTTTTTGTATTGCGGCACATTAGCGACGGCATGTTTCTCACCCTCTGTCAACATGTGTTGATGATGATAAATAAATATATCATCCTCGAATTTATCGAGGCACACCCCATGATAATAATGTTTAACCACACGTGACAGATGTGAATCGCCACTAAATAAAGTCACTGCTCCTTGTCTCTCTCAGAGTGGCGTTGTAATTCAAGGACTTGTTGGGCCCCTGGTACTTTGAAGGACATAAATGCGTATGAATCATTTGCTTGGTCATCGGCTCCCAACTAGTTGCGATACCATGGTATCGCGCTGCTGCCTTATAGGTTAGATCGATGATCAAACGCTGTGCGTACAGCCCCCTAAGACAACTCTATACTTCGTTCTGGGAAACCGAGTTGCATCACACCCACTGACGAATCAGTGATAGATTCTTATGCTACTATTTTTGCTTTTACTGCTTCTACTGGCTCTTCTGTCTCAATTTCTCAACCTCCACTCCCAGATCGTCCCACTTTCCGTCCTTCAACTACACTTATACCCTTGTCGGTCACTGCCAACAGCAGCTCACTGGTTGCAGTTGCTATTCGATACTCGGCGATCACGGCTATCTCACAGTTCACCGAGGCTCCAGCTTTTCTTCTACTTGGTTCTCCATTCCGCCTCGCAGCATTCATTGTTTCCACTCTGATGCACATCGGACGGTAGGCTTGCTTGACCCGCACTCTGGAGAGTCTGTCGAAAACTAGATTGCAAGACTCCAGTACCGTCATCAGAATGAGCTTTCCGGCAAACCCTGACGTCAAATACCATTTGCGCCTTTCCGGGGACCCAGAGGCTGCCGATTCTGGTCAGGCTGGTGTTGGGGTTGCACTAAGGGACAGGGCTGAGAGCTCTGCTTGACTGGATCTCAGTCAACAGTTGAGTGTGTGCGGTCAGACTATGAGGTCCATGTAGGTTATGTAAGCGTCGAGATGTTAAGCGTGCCTTATTTGTCGTCTCTGTCTGTGCTCCTACAGACTGCAGCCAAGATCCAGTCAATAATTGTTTTGATCAACAACTACCTAACCTGTGTTCCTCCAAGAAGTCTGATAGTAAATAAATAAATTTTTATTCTCGACTAAGCGAGGCACGTCTGCACAGGCACGGTAATGGTAAGGGTGTAAGAAGTGACCAAAGAATGTACAATAGTATAATAGGATTGTCAAATCTGTTGATGCCTAAATGGATATGTGCGTGTGTTACTAGGGTTTGTAAATGTTTTGGTGCGTCTTTGCTTGTGTTTGAACATGTGACAAATGTTAAAGGGATGTTTAACGTCCGTGGATTCGAAGCGATTATACGGATAAGCAAGGCGCAGTGACTTTAGTTAGTCTTGAGTCACTATTTTTAAACGGATATTTGTAGCTTTTTATTGGGATCACGCTTGGCAGGCGAAAATCCACCATGTTCTGGAACACTGCCACCAAACTATTCGCTGGAACGGGTAAACCAGAACCACCCAGCTGGCACCACGCAGAGGTTGTTCGGCTAACCAGACTGATATTGTCCTTGCGGGAGATCTTACCGCCCAAGTGCGCCGCCTGCCACCATGCGAGCACCATATTGGGGTTGTTTTGATCTCGGTAGTGGTCATTTGGACAGTGGAGACAGACTGCTAGCTCTGTTCTGATCATCGCTGTTTTCTTCGAGCACCAGTTTTCGACGCTCGAAGACTCAGACGTTTACCTGGCACCCGCCTTCTCACACACAAGTGTGGTTCCAGCTTGACCACATGACAGATAACTACGGATGGCCCGGAAGTGTAAAAGAACTGCCGATCGTACTCGTCAATTTGTTTGGACTCCGATCACGCATTGTTTCGTGCCATGGTTTGCGTGCGTTTCGCAGGATCACCCAGGCATACACACTACCGGTCGAACGTCGACAACCTGTAATACCCTACGACATTATCCAAATACCAAGTTTCTCTGTTGACATTGCTTGCCTCAGCTTCTAATGATGATTTGAATTCACTATGGGTGCACACCAAAGATGCCAGCATTGCTAGTTGTGGTTACTTGTAACCCGCCGGAAAACTGGATCACCGCTGTCTGCTTGTCGCTGATTGACAGACCCCGATCGGTCCCTGCCGACCCAGCTGTAGTGATGCACGTCGATCCACGGATCGAGACTTGCGCATGAGTTTTCAAAAGGACCGTGAAGCCTGCTTGTGTGAATGTGCTGGCGAGATGGAATTTGCTAGTGTCTCTGGTAATCCCAGCAAACTTTTCAGTCTCATCCGGGTCACCGGAGGCTTCCGCTCTGGTGTAAACGGAATACTTTGCGAAGAGGATGGCTTACTGATCACTAATCTTCAACCACGGTTGGAACAATGGGCTGAATGTTTTGGCTCACAGTTTTGCTGACCACCAGCCCCAGCTACCTCCTCTGGAGTGCGCACTAGTGCTGAGTGGTCTGCACCGCAGATCATCGCACCAGGAAATCTAGTAGAAACTCCGCCTACTGATGTCTCATAAAGCACTGGGTCCTGATGCTTTACCTCTTGCTCTCTTTAAGTATGGTGGTAATTCGCCTTTTCAAGGACTCACCGCTCTGTTCTCAGAAGTCTGGTCAAGAAAGGAGGATACATCGTTTTGGGATGAATCACTTGTCATCCGCATTTTCAAAAATGGCCTGCGTACAATATACTTCAGCTACAGAGGTAAAAGTTTGGTTCCCGACGTTTGCAAGCTTCTGGTGTTTATCATAGTTTGTAAGCTATCGCCATTGCATCAATCGCTACAACGCGAATAACAGGCTAGGTTCTGACCTGGTCGCGGGCTGCGTCGATCAAATTTTCACACTCCGCCAAATCCCCGAGCTCTTCCATGTGTACCAAACCAACAGTTATTGTATTCTTGGATATTCGTACTGCCTTTCACTCTGTTGACAGGACTGTATTGTGACACTGTATGTTGAGGAATAGTGTTTGCGTACTGTGTACGGTCTGGTCTCGGCTAGAATTAGGGTTCATGGCAAGCTTTCGACTTCCTTTGTTGTCACCAATGGGGTACGATAAGGATGCCCTATCTCTCCATTCCTTTTCAATTTTGCTATTGTGAGTGTCCCCAAAAGTGATATAGAAGACTTGTTGAACGCTGGCCTTGAGCTTCTCACAGGTTGTCGAGTAGTTGACTTTAACTACACTGGTGATATCCTCTTGCACGGTTACAGTCCACAGACCGTTAAACTTGCCCTTAACCACTTGGCGATTGGAGCGTCGAAGTATGGCATGCGCTTTTCACTATCCAAGTGCAGAACACGTTTACAAGACTAGCAGATGCCTATACCTCCCCTCACTCTCGGTGGCGAGACACTGGAGGTTGCGGAGAGTTTTCTCTACCTACGCAGTTGCGTCAATGCTGGTGGAGCTGTTGGAGAAGAGGTTTCGATGCGTATCTTAAGAGCTCGTCTCGATTTCGCCATACTGAGGCACCTGTGACGCCGCCGTGACACATTTTTCCACCAAACGGTGGTTTTTTGTGCGACTGTCCGCGTTGTACTGTTGCGCGGTTGCGAGACGTGTTCTGTTCAAACCGTTGACCTGTGCCGGCTGTCTATCTTCGAGAACCGTTGTTTGCGGTCCATTGCCCATGTGTGGTGGCTGCACCACGTAAGCAATGCGAAGTTAGACAGCGTGTCTTGGGGAGAGACAACCATTTGCTCTAGGAGATTGTCTCGCTGCACCAATTGCGGTGGCTTCGTCACGGATTGCGCATGCGCGCTGAGCGCCTTCCGCGTCGTGCATTGTTCGCGGTTGCTGATCAGGGCTGGAGGAGGCGACGCGGTGGACAACCAACGATATGGAGAAGCCGCATGAAAATGCTGACGAAGCAGTTGACCTCGGTCAGTCGATCACGACTCCCTGGTTGGGGTCCCAGTGATACGGAGTTTCGCTGGGTGGAGGCCCTGGAAGTTATGGCTCAAAACCGACAGCAGTAGCGGACGTGTATTTCTGCATGTTGTGGTGATACCGTTTCTTTCCCTTGATAAAACAAAATGCCAAAAACTCAAAAATTGTGAGTGGGAAATTGGTCAAAAACTGTTGCCTGTTATTTTCTTTTCTTACTCTGATCATGTTTTCATATTCCGCCGTGATTCCGATGGCACAGTATCTGTACCACAACTTGTGATTAAATAATCATAGTGGTAATACTAATAATAATAGTAATAATAATAATTCTGTCCCCAATCGTGGCCCAGTATGTCATGTAGGCACCCAGCTCGTAGCTTCACACTAGAACGAAGTTTGTTCGCGACGGGATGCAATCCACATAAGACGCGGAATATTTTGAACCGACTCTTTTACTTGCGGATGAAAGTGATGAAGGTCAAGTACATTCATAGATTAAATGCGTTTTCTTGTTTTTTTATCATTGTTGCGTTAATGTCAACTTGTCAACGCGCATTATAATCATTCACATTTTCGTTTGCTTTAATTGCCGATCTATCGAATGCGCCTGGTTTTTTGAGTACTGAATTACTCTTCCGATCGTTTCCTTACACTAAGATCCGTGATGTAAAGGTACAGGCGTTTCGCCGCAAACTCTGCTTCTTTGTTTCGAGTTCCAGCTCGTGCATGCGTTTCGGCGCCCCCACATCATCCCAAATTGCGCTCGTGTGCTTGCGGTCGCGCAGCACTGAAGCATCAATACAAGCTGCCAGGGGTCACCGCGCCAACTCTCATGTCTGTATGCGACGAACGTTTGCCACAAAATATTACAGATCTTTTAGTATCGGAACTTACCTTTCCATCCCGTTATGCACTTTCTAGCAAGATCTGTAGTTATCCCGTAACATTTTTCCATGATCTTCCATCTTTTTGGTCTGATTCCTTCAATTCACTAGGCCATTTCCATTTCCGGCGCCTGCCGCTCTATTACACTGCACTCAGAAGACCATCTGCACACGTTTGGCAATGTTTCTGTTGCAGTCACATGTGCGTGTGCACTTCGGAATTTACTTAACCTCCACTTTAGTTGATCTTCCGTTCTCTCACGGATCGTTGCTTGATTTTCCTCTGCAACGTCAGAAGTCACAGTTCTATATTCGGTCCATCCAAACTTACTAGCTCTTACCCTTCGGAAAAGGTAGAATTGTTCAAGTTTCCAACCGTATCCACAATCATAAACAGGACAATTAGTCCAGAAAATGCCTACATACTTCGTAAATGGCAAGAAAAAAAGAAACGTGAAATGGGCGAGGATCAGTTCAACGCTTATATGCTGTGTGAGTCACGATGTTCCACTCGGTTTTATTCTAGCTATCAAAAAATTAGGAAAGGAGGTTCATGAGGCCATACAGCAAAGGCTACTTCGGGGCAGTTTTCCCTCAGATTTATCCGGTGCCGTGTCCCCTTATTGTCGAAGCGTTTCCCATTTCCTTGACAGTGTGAAACCAGATCGGTTGGAGGTGGATTGTGTTCACACGGAATTGCGCTACCGTGGTCGTTTTGATGGAATTATTGAGGTTGGGTGAGTCATACCTACTCTTGCAGTAATGAGTTCTGCTCTTTATTACACTACTAGTTCACTTCTATACTTATTTCCTCTTTGCTCCTCTTTGTCTGAAGTCTTCATTGCTTAGTTCTCCGCTCTTAAAATTGCATCTCTTCGAACCCATTACCATTCAAAGGCCTTGATTTATCATTGCCCATTCTTCTGCTTTATCTTTTCGCTGCCACTTGGGTAGGACTTTATCGGTTTTAGATACTATAGCTTCGCTGTTGACTAGTGGGTGATGCATTTGAGTGTAAAGAGCTATATGAAGGATGACTTTCTAAGCCCTCTTAACTCCATTAATGGAAACGTAAACTTTACTGTGGAACTGGAATTTTGCTGTGGCACACTTCCATTCCTTGATTGCTTAGTTCCTAGGAATGGTGGACGGTTAAATACGACAGATACGGACCGAATACTCCATTACAGTTCCGGCCATCCAAGAAAATCTGCCGCTATCGCATCTTCTCTGTTTCACGGAGCCTATACTCTGTACAAAGGAAGAGGACAGGAAGGCTGTTCGTAGACAGTGGATATCCGAGGCGGTTAGTGAAACGCCAGTTGCAGAGTGCTCTAAATCCGCCTTCGCGATGCCCAGTGGAGCGGATTTGGGACGGTGGGAATCCTATATGAAAAGGGAACCTCAGAAGCACTCTAGCGAGTACTAAACAGGGTAAAAAAAGTGTTTTTTTTTCCAAAGAGTCAAACGCTCCCATTCAGCACTGGTGCGTTTGAAGGACCCGCTTTCAAGAGGTTGGACGACAAATTGCGTTTATAGAATCAGTTACAAAGACTGTGGACATGTGTGTATAGGTCAAGCAACGAGAAATGCACGAGGATAGCAGAACACAAGAGGCATGTTTCGCGTCCACCGAGAAATGGACCTGAATACATTTTCATACTAAGAGTAGCTGAGGTGTTTCCTACCTCTAGCTAACGTGTATAATGATGAATGGTGAGATGTACACGCGCTAGACACTGGACAGGAGATTGACTGGGACAATGTTGTGATAATTAAGAGAGGAATACTAGCAACGAGCCAAAGGTTGCTTGCTGAGGCGGTTGAGATTACTAGGACTAATAACTTTGTGAACTGGACTGACGGGGTGGTTAACAAACGCTTGGCGGACTGTCTTAACTCGGCCAATCTGAAAAGGTGTCGGCGGACAAACTCAGGTTAGAGCTTAAATCAGCAGCAGCATGAACAAGAATGCCTCAAATGTGCAAGAACGATGACGTGGATCAATGAGGAACGCTCGATGCTTGTCCATCGCGACGAGATTGGACCTTACCGTGGTGCGATGCTTTGTGTGCCTCATTGATCCATTGAGCTGTGCTGGGTGGTGCTTTTTTCCACCTTCAGAGCCACTCATACCAGATTGGTCAATGATTAGGGGCCAGACAAGTTCAGTCTCCTGGCCCTCCAGGTTGGGGTTTTGAGTGAAGGTGGCTCCATGCTCCATAAAACGGGCTGTCTGTAGTCCAGTGCCAAAGCCCCGCTGCCTTGCGGTCAGGTTTTTTGAACCAAAGGCTTGGGCTGAGAACCGTAATCGTTCTCCTGTCTAGGCCTGGGCAACTTCACAGTAATTTGCGCACACAATACAATGAACCTTTCTTCTAAGAAATTCTTGAAGCTCTGGCCGTCGCAGAGGATAATCGACGGCGCCCTATCTGCTGCATTGAGCAGGGTGAGTAGGAGTTTGTATGCTACTGCTCGAGCCTTCCCATCTTCTTATTCCCCTTCTTGCGCTTTTTCGTCCTTATCGTCCCGCTCCAACTTTCCTTTTATCGCCCCATCTTCAAGCCCCCAATTCTTGGACCACCCCACCTTGCTTCGATAGTCACTTGTCTTCTACCAATACCGGCAGACCTCCTGTGACATTCTCTGTTACTTTGTACGGAGAATGTCGCTTTCCGATTCCAGCACACCTTCTATCGCCAAATTGATGGAGTGGCTATGGGTGGTCCGTTGGGTCCGTACTGGCTGATTTTCTCATACTGATGTTTGAGAGGAAACTAAATGGACAGATTTATTAGCTTCCGTATTACAAACGATACGTAGATGATATCCTTGTTTCCGGTTCCACGAAGATGTAGACCGAACAATTAGTAGACCAAATTAATAATGTTCACGCCAACCTGAAGGTGGCTTTTGAATTCCATTCGAATGGGCGTCTTCCCTATCTCAACATTCTCATGAGTCGCAGGGACAGTGGGTTGATTAAGCGATCTGTATACCGGAAGCCAACGTGGTCCGGCCAATGCCTACACTTCGCTAACTTTTCACCGATGACACACAAGCGCGCGTTGGTAAAAAACATTATTCACTCGGGCCGGACGTATCTGCTCCAACGACTGCCTGCCTGAGGAGTTTGAACTGACCACTAAAACACATGGAGAATGGCTACCCAAAGCGATTCATAGACAAACATAGCCAAGTTGGACCGCCCAAGGAGATGGTGTTGGCAGCCGCTAAGAAAATGGTGTACATCGAGCTACCATTCAAGGGTGACACCTCAGCAAGGAGGTTAACCAGACACATTGTCTCGGCCATTCATTGTACATACTGTGCTGCGGAGGCGTTAATTATCAACAGAACCCGAAAGTTGCCGTTACCTTCAGTAAAGGAAGATGAACCCGTCGGCGCCAAATCACATTGTGTCTACCAATTCGTGTGTGACTGCGGTATCAGTTACACCGGCAGGACCGAACGGGTTTCAGATTCTAGAATGAATGAACACTTACCAAACTGGGTTCAGCTCGAAGTTACTCAATCCACCTCCGATGATACGTGCTCACGTAAGCCACCAGCGTCCTCCATAGACGACTCGTCACCGGGTTAATCCCTTATCGGCGTTCCAGATCTTGTTACGTCATACTAATGCACGCCTTTCACGATTTGCCGACGCCGTCGCGTTAAGCTGAATTAGACCAGCTTTGTGTGTCCAAAAGCAATTAGTTGTCAACCTGCGGTTGCCGTGGACCTAATCCCAACAATAATAACCACAACCATAAGTTTGATTGGCTTGACTGCGCCTTGTAACACAAATAAAACGATTTCCCTGTTTTTGTATTGGTACTGACGAGATAATACCAAATGCTAGCATCTGCCAATATTCGTCTTCTCATTTCGTTGTTCAAACTTGACTTCTAGTTTCTCTGGGACTTTTGGATGCTCACCGACGTATTCCGGCTGGAAGCGAATACAGTGAGGTTTGTAAAAATCCGTGGGCAAAGCTGCGTGCTAGCCTGAAGGAAGACCGCGAGGCCTGGTGGTCTCATCGTGCCTCGGAGATGGAAACAACGCTGTCGTTCGTAATCATCGTAAGTTATTCCGTCTGATGCAGGAAACAGGCAGCAGAAGACCTGGTGTTAGCGAGACCATACGCGACGTGGACAGCCTATCCACAGCCTGTCAAAACGCTTGGATCGTTGGGCCGAACACTTTGCGAGGCAATTTAACCAACCTGAGTTATTGCTTACTTTTTCGAGCATTGAGCGTTCTTCTCCCTGGACCGTCTCCTTCGATCCACAGAGGTCGAACGTGAGATCAGGCTGTTGAAATCGCATAAGGCCGCAGGAGCAGATATAATTCCCCCAGCTCTTCAAATTCGGGGACCTGCTCTAGTAGATGATTCACAGGAGTTGCTAGTGAAACTTTGGGAGCAGGAAACTGTCCCGACAGACTGGAGCCGCTCCGTCATAGTCCCAATTTTCAAGGAAGGCTCCCGTTCGGAATGCGGCAATTATGGGGGATCAGTCTGATCTCAATTGCCTCTAAATTACTTGTGTCTGTCATTTTCCATAGACTGACTGGTGCTCGTGAATGACAGATTCGTGAATAGCTTGCCGGGTTTCGTCGAGTTCGGGAGTGCATCGACCACATCTTCACCTTGCGTCAATTGTTGGAGTACCGCCATGTTTATTGGCGACCCACTGTTGTCGCGTTTCTTGTCATAAAAGGTGCCTTCGGTTCAGTCGATCGATGTGCCTTTGTTATTTTATGCATAAAATAGGTGTGCCTGATAAATACGTAAACATTATCAAAGCGCTGTACGCGCATATTTCGGGCAGAGTGAGGGTTTATGTCAGACTGTCGCCGCCCTTCAGTATCATCAGCGGCGTGAGAAAAGGTTGCCCACTACCACCTTTCCTATTTAACTTCGCAGTTGACGAAGTCATGGGAACAGCATTCGCTGGACACGACCTAAAAGGTTTGGAGCTAATTCCTGATGAGCGACTTCTTGACTTGTAGTACGTGGACGATATTGCCATACATACCAAGCAGCACTGGACCGATTAGCACCAGCTGTCTATCGTTTTGGGCTATGCTTTGCTCCATCAAAATGCAAAGTACTTCTCCAAGATTGGCAGGGATTCACCGCTGCACTAACGCTTGGTGGTTATCAGCTAGAACTCGTTCAGGAATTCAAGTACCTAGAAAGCTATATTAGCACCCGTGGTATCAAAGATGAGGTTACGAAACGTATAGCAAAATCTCGAGGTATTTTGCCCATCTCCACCGCTTGTGGCGCAGACGCGACATTACTCTCGCCCTGCAGGGCAGAGTTTATAACGTAACCGTCCGTTCAACTCTCCTATATAGTTGTGAAACCTGGCCCATCAGGTTGACAGACATAGGGAGGCTCGTTACATTCGGTCATCGCTGTCTTCGCAGCTTAGCTCATGTCCGGTGGGAGCACCGCGTGAGCACTGAGCGTGTTCCGCGTCGCGTATTTAGTGCAGGAAGAGCGAGTGGACCGCTCAGCACCATTATATCACGCACCAGGCTTTGATGGCTGAGCCACGTGTTGCGCATGCCAGCACACCGACTCCGGCGACATGCAATGTTTGCTCGCCGGGGTGCGGT